TGGATTTGATACCTCTTGCGCATGGCATGCCATCGGAAAGCGTTGGTGTACCAATTATTTGAGGTTCACTTATTTCACCTTCGGGTAACTTTGGGCGAGTCTTCGATCGTATCTTGCTCCAGCGCGCTTGCATCTGGGATACCAGGCTCCTCTCTACATTTTCTCTCTTCCTTTGTCGGCTACCTTCATTTCGGTGGGGCGCTGATGCATATTGATGGCAGTCGCTGCTCGTCGGGCTGTTCGGCCTCTATAGTTAGGGAGGTCTGATTCTATTGTTTCTTTTTCGCGACCAAAGGGACGCATTTGTTTACGCGGCTTTGTGGTTGTTACGAGCAGGAGACGGTGTCGGACATTGGGCAGGCTATGGAACGGTGCAATCACGACATTGTCGCATAAGAACACTAGCTGAAGATTTGGCAGGAGAAGAGAGTGTATAGCTGACTCCTCTCCGATATTCGTAGACATGGACACAGCGGCTATTATCCTAAGCTTGGCTGCGCCGCCCAGCGAACTGATGACGAAAACCCATAATGAAATGTATATTCTCAATTCTCAACTCATACGTTGTACGTAACCATCTTTGCGCGCATCGTCAAGCAAAACCAATCTTCGTCATCAGCACGTCTTATTCACAGAAGATGACCGTCGGCAAACGCCGACGCCCTTATCATGGTCACGAGTTGCTTCCGTAAAAGTGGTCCTCGTAGCACACAACTACCTAATTCGGGCCAGTGCAAGCGGTGTAGTGGGGCGCTAAACCCCACTTGCCTGACAACACCTACTCCTCGACATAAGGCATACGTACAAACTTCCCTTCATTCTTGAGCAACACAAACATGGACGACAAAGTCAAATACCTGCTTTCCCTTTCAGCGGTGCGAGAGCGTGCCAAGATCGTAGGAGAGGCTGCTGAAGCAGGCAAGCTTAGTCACTTTGATGTGCACGAGGAGCGTTTGGGCGAAGCAGCGGATTATGTGACGTCTGTCATCAAGGTTTGTTTCTCAGTTCAGTCATTTTGTACATCATGGAAAGCTGATCTGAAACTCACAAGCGCGACTTTGGCCCCGACAAATTCCACACCATTCCACCTCACGGGCGCTGGCAGCACTTTGAAGTTGGCGGCGTTCCCCGCATTGCCGGCCTCCTCGATGAATGGAAAAAGCATGGTTGCGACGAACTTGAAATTACGCGTCGGTTGATTGACCTGTTCTTTGTTTCGGTACTGTTGGATGCTGGCGCTGGAGACCATTGGCGATATGTGGAACCTGGTGCGGGAAAGGAGTATGAGAGGAGTGAGGGTATTGCAGTAGCGAGTTTGTATATGTTCAAGAGCTTGGGCTTTGCTGCGAAGAAGGATGGGGGGCCGATTGTTGATGGTAAGTATTCGTGTTCATGCTAGGATGGTTGGAAGGGACTCAGCTAACTGAGCTACGTATAGGAAAGGGACTCCAGGACCTCAAAACTGAGGCCCTTGCAGAAGGCTTCCAAATCTCCTCCAGTAACCCCATGCTAGGCGTAGACTCCCGAGCCAACCTTCTCCGCAGTCTAGGAAAATCCCTTCTCTCCCAACCCGCCATCTTTGGTGAACAAGGCCGTCCAGGCAATGTCGTTGGTACGTCCCCTACCAAAGCCATCCCCATGCCAGTAATTAACAAATTCAAAACAGACTACATGAAGACCACTACCTCTGACCCCTCAACCCTCGACATCCTCACCTTCTGGGACGTCCTCCAAAATCTGTTAATCCCCATCTGGCCACAAGACCGCACCGTAGTAAACGGCCAAGCCCTCGGCGACGCATGGCCCTTGTCCACACTGAAGACGCAATCCAAAGATGCCAACGCAGACGAAAGCACCTTCATTCAACCCTTCCACAAACTCACCCAATGGCTGGCCTACTCTCTCACCGTGCCCTTCACCCGCATCCTCTCCCTATCTTGGAAGAATATGTCCGCCATGACCGCCCTGCCCGAATACCGTAATGGCGGTCTATTTGTCGATCTGGGTGTTTTGACACTCAAACCCGCGTCTCTAGAGCGCGGTCTCAAAGCTACGTCGGACGGAAGTGGACTTCCGTCTTTTGCTGCCGGCGATGATGCTATCGTTGAGTGGAGGGCGATGACGCTGGTCTTGGTGGATAAACTGTACAAGTTGGTGCTTGAGAGAATGCAGGGGGTTGAATTGAGTATGGCGCAGCTGCTCGAAGCGGGCACGTGGAAGGCAGGGAGGGAGGTGGCGAAGGAGAAGAGGCCTCAGACGAAGAGTAGTCCGATTGTTATTTTGAGTGATGGGACTGTTTTCTGAGCTGAGAGATTTAGCAAGATAAAGCCATGGCTTGATAAAACAATCGGAAGCAGTCAAAGGTCGTTATTAGGACGGTCATCGTGCCTGATTAGAAGAAAACTAGATTTCTCAGAAGAATCCCCCCTCCTCTTTTCTCCCTCTAACCTCCTTCATCTCAATAGCTCTCCCATTCATCCCACCCCTCCCATCTACTTCTTCATCAATCGCATCCAACACTCCCAGTCTTTGCACTCCAACATCTCCCTCTCCTTCTCTTTTCCTCTTCCCGGACAACTCTTGATCCGAAACATCTCTCTTCGCGTGCATGTCTTGCAACCCCCAATCCCTCGGCGCCATCCAACCCTGTCGTTGAGTCCCACGTCCACTACTACCCTTCCACATGCCGCCCAACACTGGTGAATCCGGCCCAGCACTATCCAACTCGCCCCTTACGTCATCACCAGGCAGTTCAGAAGGCCCGCGCACATCTCCGTAAACGGAATTACGAGCTTTGGTTAGCGCTGACGTGGGGAAAGAAGTTGAGACGGTTGTGAGTGGCAGTTCTTGGGGTGGCGGTTGCCAGATGTGTGGATAGTTGCGGTGTTGTTGGTCGTAGTGAGTTGGGTTTTCGATGGCATAGCTCGGGTCACGGGGTGCGTAGGCAGCGAAGTTTGTGTCTTGTGAGTATACGGAGGAAGGAGGGTGGTGGCCGAGTGGGGATAAGGGGCTGTAGATGGTGTTGTTGGGGCCTGGGGTTGGTGGGGTGTAGGATGGTGGTGCTGCGCGTGGGTATTAGGCAAACACGTCTTTGAATATCATTGGAGGGATCGATTCGGGTGAACTTACAATCGGTCACCTCTGGCTGCCGATTTTCTGCCATGACGCATATGGGTAGAATATCCAGACTTTGCTCTGCTCCATCCTCTTTCTCACGCGTCTTGGCTTTCTTTCTCCTGAAACATAGGAACCAGATTACGAATCCAGCAATTATGGCGAGTGCGAAGGTGCCTCCTGCTGCACCACCTGCTATAGCCGCGACGGGTAGTGTCTCTTCGGTTGCAACGGAGGCAGTGTTCGACGGGGACATCGTGCTCGATGTTGATGTGGCTGACGTCGTGGCTACGTTCGCTAATGTGACTGATGCGTAATGGTTGAAGGTGGATGTCGGTGATGGGCTTGAGTCTGTCTTCAAACCACCAGTCGCATGATATGCGCTGAGCAAGTCGTCGCGATTGAGTATTGCTGGTTCAAGATCACCATCTGGGCAACCGGACTGGGCGCACGCATTCGTTTTACAACATCCCCAGAATGTTCCTACGCTATGTCAATATGGCTGTCAAATGATACAGTTTGTTCGCTATCTGGCCGAAGAGTCTTCGATAGACCCAAAGCCTAACGATGCTCTTTGACTTACTGCCAGCGGCGCAAGTGTAGAATTTACTCCCGGTCCCACACGTAGCGTCCGGGAAATCTCCATACGATGTTGGATCGAAGGCACCGGGGTACAAGTTTCCTTGTGCACAAGTGATTTCGCACGGGTCTCTTGCGCAACAGCCAACGAAGAAACTGGCACTGTGTTAGCTCTTGGAAGCATGACAAGTAAACTTTTCAACTTACGTTCCGTAGCCGCACGACCACCACGTACCTCCAGCAGGGCAGGAAGGCGAGAAGACTTGTCGCTCAAGAAGGCTAGCCGGCATAGTTTGGGATGACGAGGCTGAGCTCTGTCTAGTAAATCTGAAAAGCGAGTCCAAGCAACAGAGTCAGTGGCCTTCAAACCAGGAATCTAACGGTCGATAGTAAAGACCACGAGGAAATTGCAATACAACCTGATCCGGACCCCAAGAGCACATACATCGACCCAAACGCCGCCCTGCGGCTCAGCCATCATTGTAGTAAGATGCTACTCTTAGCCGAACTGCTCACTCGCCACATCTTTTTCCGTAGTACTCAGGGCGAAGACACCCAGAATATTTGCATATGCAGTCATGTAATAGGGGCCGGTATTGCTCGGGTGTTACCTGAGAGTAAGAAATCTGACGTTGTTCATACGTATTTACTTGGCACTGCCTGCTGTTCTAAATATTTGGCCGCTGCGACGGCGCACCATGCTGACGGATGGGGAGAGGGAAGGCTAGAAGAACTTGAGATGGGCAGATCTTAGGGCTGATGTTTTTAATGGAAGGTGTGAGGTGGCGTGAGGGGTCGTCGGGTTGAGTCGGTGGCTGCCGCGTGGTTGCATGCGCGCAGGGAGATGCGTCGCGATTGTTTATGTCCGGAGAGGAAGCTTGTGGGTTGCATATTTGGACGGCACACACTATCACGTTTTGTGGTAATCAAGGGGTAGTAACATGAAGGAAATGCTCAAATAGTTGCTGAACGCCTGGTTACAAGAGACTTCGGAACGTAGAGGAAGGCGGTCTTGGTGTTCTAAATGTGGCACGGGTGAGCTGCACGTGGGATTAGGTAAGAGTAAGCCCTGAAGCGGCCCTGTATGAAGAAAGGAGATGCGCAATCTCAATTCACACCAAAATCGGTTCACTAGGTTTTCAGCATTGTTGTTAGATGGTATATATACATTTCGTGGGTAAGAATGGGTATGATACGCGAGTACAGATTACAACGGGACCTCCCAATTACAACAACATAACGCGAATGCACATCATCTTCCCTCTGATGAGGGTATCTTCACAGGACTAGACCCTCGACGACAACGGTTACTCGGTCATCACGCCCAGCCCTTGAGCTCGGCTCGCGCGCTTCGTCTTGTCGTTGGGGAATGCGCCTTGTACCGGCATAGGTGAGGTCTGTGGTGACTCCAGCTCAGAAGGACCAGGCCGCGCCTCGGCAGGAAGTTCGGAGAATCGCCGAGTATCTACAACATCCGATGCGCCGGCGGGAAGTTCAGAGTATCGGTTGGTCGAGGAGACCTCTGCCGGAAGCTCTTGGGGTTCGCTCGCGTGGCTGGCGTACTGGACGTATGACTGCTGGCCCTTGGTTGGGTAGTTTTGGTGGTAAGGATCTTGGACAGGAGAGGTATACGTGGGAGGTGCTATCGGGGGATATTAGCATACTATGAGAAGGATCAACGAGGGGAACGTACGTGATTGACCGTCGAAATGTGATGAGTGCCCGTTTTGGTCGTGCTTCTCGTTGTTCATCATTGGGACCATGGCTGCTGCGCCCATTTCGCCTTCGGTAGACTTCTTGTTGCGTCTTTTACGGAGGATGAAGAAGGCAATCAGTCCGATGATAGCAAGAGCAACGACACCTCCAACTACTCCACCAACGATGGCACCCGTATTACTCTTCGAGGGGCTTCCAGTTGAGGTTTCGCTTGGAGTTGGACTCGGGACATCTGAAGCATAGAAGCTGAATTCACCTGGCTGACCCATGAAGGCAGGTGTTAGGTCTCCCGAGGCGCATGTAGCCGGTGGGGTCGCTGCGCATGGATTTGTCTTGCAACATCCCCAGAAAGAGTCTCCTGCGCTGCATGTGTAGAAATCGCTGCCTTGTGAACAAGAAGCGCCTGGCCATTCGCCGTAATGTGAGATGTTGTAGCCACCGGCACGGATGTTTCCTTGCTGGCAGCCGTTGACACAAGGATTAGCTCCGCAGCAACCGACGAATTTGCTTCCAGTAGAGCAAGCATACCTATAGTCTGTTAGTATCTGCGCCGCTCTGAAGTCTGAGATCTTCCTTACCACTTGCCTCCGGTCGGGCAGTGAAAGTCGTAGAATGATGAGTTAGACATGCTGAGGGTACGTCCTATATTAATAAAGCCTTTGGATATGTCTGTCCAAGGGAAGTGTATTATTGCAAGCCCAACGGCGCAAAAGCAAAGATGAGATCAAGCAAGAGTAAACGCAGCCGACACTAGAAAGAAGACAGTGGAGATCGCAAAGAACGGGGGCAAAGAGCAGCTACTTCAGCGATGAACAGCACACGGACTCCGACAAACATGTATCTCCAAGTCTCCAAGCACGCACAAGGAACGCCTGAACGAGGCGTTACCTGATCGGTGACACCGCAGGAAGACACCGCATACAACACCCACCAATCCAACACAGCGCGTGATCGAATGGGGTATGGTAGACCCTCCGCCCTATGGTGGCTTGCGATATGTGATGTATTTTGGTGGCATGTCAGAAGCTTGTGCATACTTCGCGTTAGCAGCTGAAGGGAAGTAAGCGAAGGATTGACGAGCCTAGAGCCCGACCCGTACCCCGTGGCAGGGATCGAGCTGAGCGCCAGAGCCTCAGCACAGCATTTTCCCATCGCGGGAAGAACGGTGTGTATGACGGAAAGTACACGCGATGCTATGATGGCCTTACCACACCTGCTACAAGACATGACGAAACATAAGCTCATTGTCTTCCATCTCTTGAGACACTCGATCAAATGACCAGCAGTAAACTTCAGGCCCACCTAAGGCGGCGGAGCTGAGTTGCAATCGCAAAATCATCCCCTTTTGGTGGCGTCTTTAATCGAAATGACTACCAGGCCGCGCTTAGGGCATGGGGCCGTTTCTCAACAGCAGCCCGCGCCGACCCCACAGGATGTCAGCAGGAGCCAACGTTGCCCCGAGAGGTTTCTGGAGTTTGACCGGGGTCTGAGAAGTCGTTTCCGCAGATACGGACTCGCGACATGATGTGACAAGACGTGTGTTCGCCGAGCTAGGGAGACAATGCGGCTGCTCGGGTACCCCAGCTGTAAAGAGTTCGCTTGGCGGATTCGTTCCGCTCCCGACGGCTGAGGTCAATAAAAGTTTGTGGCGGTACTCCAGATGGCGCGGGCATCAAGTAGAGACAGTATTACGTAGTTGGAACATCTAAGTCCAGACTGATATCCATGTGGAACCTGAGCAGTGAACAGCGCACTGCGCTTGCCGGAATGGGCTAGGAGGCTAAGCGTGGAATCGCGGTCGACACATCAGTCCAGGCGGGCTGTGTTATCGGAGTGTTCAAGAGCAGGCAGCTCTACGCTTTGTAAAATCACTAGAGTCGGCCCCGAGTGAAGCGTTTGTGATGGCTGAAGACTACCTAGGTAAGTTTGATTGACCGGGACGGCAGGTGAAAAGAGTAGGCAGGATCATTACAAAAGAAAGTTGTCGCAAAAAGTTGTTGCAAGATACTTCGTGGTAAAGAATGTAGCTAAGAAGCATTGCTTGATGTGTACCAGGGACCATGATGGAGTTCGCCGTGGGGATGTCGCGTTGAAATGGACGTGTCGGGCGCACGAGCCTCCCGGTCTCGTCTGAGGCTGGCGGCTGGCGCTAGTACATCATCGTCGCGGGGAAGCATGGCAGCTATCTCGAGTGACAACACAGCAAGCATACCGCAACATGATCCGGCGAATGATATGTGGTAGACGCGAGAAACTTGTTCATTCCCGGTTCCAACGAGTACTTGATACATGCGTCGCGCCAGTGTGATCCCAGCCGTGATGAGACCAGCCTCCGCATATTCGGGTGGTTGGTAGACAGTTGCACGCACCCGCCATCTCGAGTAGAAAACTTATCCACCCCCATCGCCAAAATATCTTCATAATGCTACATTCCTGAACAGCTCCACTTGATTAGTGTACCGAAGAAGATATGAGTGTGGAGCCTGAATTCCAACTCAAGCAAACCAACGGTAGGTGAGCTGCACCAGCCATCCCAGACACGCATCATGCTGACAGAGGCGCCAGTCTCGCAGCCTCAACTATCCCATCAAACCTCGCAGCAGAGCGTTGCTGCTTCCCTCGCTGCTTCTGAAGGCTACTACAGCGCGTCAGAGCACGCGTCCAGTTCGAGCGACGAGCGCAGACCTCTCTACCAGACACCGCCTTCCTCCCGCACACCGGCACAGAGTCATGAGCAGTTGGTGCCACACACTGACATCCCGATAACGTCTCTGCGAGGTGTTGGTGTCCCAAGACAGCAGCCTCAGCCTTCCTTCACACACGGACGCCCTCAATCGCCTGCTGTGTCTACCATCGCAGAGGAGTCGAGACCAGACACGCGAGACGCGAGGCGCTCTCAATCATACAACATGGACGCCGAATCCCAGGTGACCACACCCGGCCAGGATACCACACCCTACATCCGATTCGCCATCGACCAACTCACACGCGACGAAGAGGTCCGAGGATCGAGGATATACCCAGAGGTCCGACCAGAGGACGACGAAGATGACTACCCCGTCGATAGGATTGTGCACGACAATGGCCTTGGATACATGGCGCAGGAGCAACGCACACAGCAGAGGATGTCACAACAAATACCACGGAAGCCCTTGAGGAATTCGTCCACACCGCTTGCGAAAGCCCCAGCACCCATGGCCACCACACAGCCTTACGACCCACATCACCCAACCCAACAGTACAGGCCCCAACATTCACCGTCCCCTTCCCGGACACAAAACGACGTCTTCGTCGCACATACCCAACATGCGCCGCTGCACTTCCTCCCAGCTATCCTTCGCCCGTTCTGGCTAGGCCTTTACATCTTCTTGTGTCTTCTAATGCTAGCAGCCTTGATCTTTTCCGCCGTCTACTCCAACCGCAACGATGGTAACGGCCTATGGGACTACAACGCATTTGGCGATAACCGCTACTTTGTCTTCGAATACCTCCCAACCCTCCTAGGAATGCTCCTACTTCTATGGCTCATCCAAATCCAGACCGCTACCCAGCGCCTCATACCTTTCATCTCCATGGCTTCGGACTCTTTCCACATGCGCTCTGAGGCTGTCTTCCTCCGACTGTACCCGATGCAGTTCGTATGGCCTAACTTTGAGCATTTCCGCGCCGGACACCCCGGTGTCGGTGTTTTCTTCTTCGTATCATGGCTGTTTACTTGGACGATACCCCTTCTCGCTTCCGCCTACAACGTACGATATGACGTGGGCCGCAGTGTCTGGCGATGGGTAGCCGTTCAGGGTGTTGTCTGGACCGTTGTTGTTCTCTACATCCTGTTGATTGCCGTATTGATCTACATGCTGCTCTTCCTGACCCGCAACCCGACTGGCCTGAAATGGGACCCTCGATCTCTCGCCGATATCGTCTCGCTTCTTGAGCGCTCGAATAACCTCACGGATTACAACAACTCTGAGACATTTGAGAAGGGCGACTGGCATCTGGTTAGCAACCGCGCGGACCGTATTGGGTACTGGACGACTACAACGAGGCCCAGTGACGTCTTCTACGGCATCGGCGAAGAGGGTGCTGGAATTCGGAGGTTCTCAGTCCAAGAAGGACGTATTACTGAGAAGGGAGCTGAGCGCACCAACCTCGACCCGACACAGGGCAACGACTTCACCATCCGCACCGACATCCGCAACCCCAGCGTGCGACTACGATTTCTTCCCTGGTACCTGAAGGACACTTCGGTCATTGCGTGGATCGTCATTGCCGCTGTATTGCTGGTCGCTTTCTTCGTTGTTAGTTTTGTCAACAGCGCCGTCCGCCTTGGATTCCTGCCCCAGGTCTTCGCTCGCACTGGCGCAGACGGCTTCTCCGCGTCAAACTTCCTCTACTCCTTCATTCCGGCTCTGATCGCCAACTTCCTCTTCTTGGCTTTGTTATCTCTGGATTACTCTCTTCGGGTCCTTCAGCCCTACATGGCGCTCTCCTCCAAAGGCGGAGCTACCGCTGAGGCTTCTCTTCTGGTCGACTATGCCTGCCGCCTACCTTTCTCCGCCACTTTGGCGGCACTCGAGAACAGACACTGGCAAACAGCTGTTCTCTCCTTTGTCTCGTTGACATCCTGCACTCTGCCCATCCTCGCTGGAGGCTGCTTCTGGACGCAATACTACGGCAACGACGACGTGGTCCGTGTCGCAGCGGAGCTCGCAGGATACTACGCACTCTGCTTCTTCCTCGCCCTCTACGGCGTCAGCCTCCTCGCTCTCATCCCAGGCCGTCGCCGAGCCGCCCTTCCCCACCGCAGCAACACGCTCTCCGAGATAATCAGCTGGGTCTACCAATCACCCATCCTCGCCGACCGCGCCTTCTCCCGCCCACAGACAAAGCCCGAACTCGTCGCAAGGCTAATGGGATCCACCTACGCGGAACGCACATGGGCCCGGTCCGCTCTCTCGCTCGTCCGTCCTTCGCGCAACAATCTGCGCAACGAGCCAGCTGCGGAACCCGCTCTAGGCGACAAGAAGACGAGGAAAGAACGCAAGAACGAGAAGCACAACTC